ATATGTCTGAAATGGCAGTAGACTGACTGCAGGCGATGTAGGATTAAAGAAATTGGAAAAGTTGCTTGCGACATCGATGTAGAACAGAGCATGAATTACTGATTGTTCCGGTATTTCGATTATAAGCAACTAATGAAATTTACTGCGTGAAACATGGCCGCTGATCAACTAATGGTTCGGCTCATATTCGGCGGTCAGTTTTAACACTGTTAAGCAAATCTAGTGCACTACTATGACCTAGTAAGGCTAGCAACCGGTAAAAGCAATACAACAGTTTAAAGTGTGCAATCGGCTCCTATAACGACAAAAGCGCAGTTTTTTTCTTTGGGGTTTTTACAACCATTCTAATGTTGAAGAGTGAAATCAAAACAACTGGACTAGACATATGAAAAAAAAAAAAAACGAGAGATGTCAGTTGTTCAAATGTCTGACACAGTAAGATTCGAGGTGAGAGAAACAAGATTACAGACTCCATAAGTACCAAAAAATTCAATTTCTGATATTTATGGACTCTAAAAAACTAAATTTTTAGCTCAACTCCGGATCAAAAGGATTTCAGATAGCGTTCGTGACTGAGACCCGTTGATATTTAAGTAGTTTGTGGACCGGCCTGTTTTTACGCTTGACTACAACGGTTGGGTATATGGAAATTCGGCGATTTTACAGGCGGCACTAGTAGCATTTCTTTATAAATCCCACTTTTTTATAACCAAAACAATCTTCCTCTAAAACGTATTAAAAGCAATAAATTGGCTGCCTATGAAATTCAGGAACAAACTGTATCTCAAACAACAAAGATATTTAATAAATAAAACTTACATTTGCCTTTGGGAGCCGAGCATCCCTCGTAGCCAACTTCTAGTAAACAGGGACAAGCACTACTCTCCAGATCGACGAGATTTGATAAAGATATCTGGAAACGCTGATATCAATGGTCATTCGACCTTAGAATATGACTTCCGAAACAATTTTAAATCTCTTCAGAACAGCTGAGCTGGTCATGTGGGAAAGCGAAAGATAACAGACGCAAAAAGCTGGCTGTAAAATTAAAGTCCTCCAATTTAAACAAACGCTCCCAAAGAAGTAAGTGAGGTGGAAGCATCTAGTACTCATATTTTGCATGATACTATGCGACTAGGCGCTGAGATCAGAAACAAAACGGGAACACTATCACGCTCCTAAAACGGCGAGAAAATGAACGGTTAGCTTGACGAAGTAGCTTACAACATCAAGCAGTTACAAAAAAACAAAAATAAAGCTACGTGTGGTACCAGATGTCAAAAGTCAAAATTTCGCCGTATTCTTTCTTTACTAAAGCGAAGGGACTCGGAAACTGTTGTGCCAAAACTTGCTACTGGCCAAGATATTGATCGCTCTGCCTTTCATAAGCAAAATAATGGGGGTTCTGACTTCTTCTGATAAACGGCAGTTAAATAAGCTGCTGTAGATGTCTGATCGGCTTACGGACGTATCATAAAAGCGGTGCTACTTGGAAGGAAAAATGTCATTC